TCCTATCTATCATTCTATCATCTAATCTGTCTGTCTCTATCAAATTGTCTTTCTCTATCTATCTATCTATCTAATTGTCTTTCTCTATATCTATCATCTATCAAATTACCTATCTCTGTCTATCTATCAAATTGCCTATCTATCGTTCTATCATCTAATCTGTCTATCTATCTATCTATCTATCTATCAAATTACCTATCTCTGTCTGTCTATCAAATTGCCTATCTATCTATCTATCGTTCTATCGTTCTATCATCTAATCTATCAAATTGTCTTTCTCTATCTATCTATCTATCTATCTATCTATCTAATTGTCTTTCTCTATATCTATCATCTATCACTGTCTCTTTCTCTATATCTATCTATCTATCTATCTATCTATCTATCTATCTATCTATGTCTGTCCATCTGCCAGTGTTATTGTAGTATTAATTATATGATATTATAGTATTTATTAATATTCTGAATTAAAATGTATTTTTAGATTTTCATTTTAAATTTAGTTTGTTTTAGAAATTTTATCTGATTTTGTTATTTTATTATTATTTGTTTTAAATATCTCTATATAGTTTTATTTCATTTTTATACCAATTTTAGTTTTTAGTCATTTTAATGCTTAAGTTGAAAACTATTTCACTTACTTGCCAAGGCTTCATTTTCTAATTTTCTAACTATTTTCTAAGTTTTTTTTTTATATATACCTAGGCCTTTAGTGAAATGCAATAAATAGGAAATGATCTTCACATGGAGAGGAGCTTAATGGTTGTTTAATGCACCTGTTGACGAAGTGGAAAGCTGGTGAGATACCAGAGATCTTGTGAACTGAAAATTAATGGATTTGAAATGGAGTAGTGTTTTTGTAAGGCCTAGAAACCTTTTATGCTTTGACATGAAACAAAAAAGAGTGTTTTTGTAGAAATCAGTGAAAGGTCAAGTGTCGCAATCCATGCATTGATGTGGCACAGCTCCAACCTTCTCTCCTGAGCTATATTTCACTCATGGCTCTATGTTTATTTTAAGCTTCTTTTACCAGCCTTCAAGATCAGAGTCACTCATACTGTAACACACATACATTAAGAAGAGAACTGGAGACTCCAGTAACTATATAAGAATCAGACATTGATTACAGTGGACCTGTTCACACACAATCTATGACCATCAGACAACCCTCTCTGTGGACATTTTACCTACTTTGATAGATGTGGTTAGAGTCTACAATTTGCAATGAATACTGTGTCTGAGAGGATTTCTTTAAAAGTTATTTATGAGAGTTGAGATAAATTAGATTTACTTTTCATTTGAACTTGTATCCGTTTTAATGTGTTTTATGCTCACAGACCACAGAACGTTAGGGAGAATGGCCTTTATTTGTGTATCTACATTTTCTATTATAGAATTCAAAACGTTCACATGAACAGTGAAGTGTGGCTTCACACAAGTTGAAGTAAATTTAGATAAACACTTTTATATTCTGCATGGTGCAAGGTGGCCCTCCAGTGATTCTTCAGTGTATTGCATTTGTGGATTAGATTTAAAAAGTATATAGAAATAAAAAAATAATTAAAATATATAATTAAAAAAACTACCTTACTATTAATGAGCAGCAAATTAGGATCTTGAGGCAAAAGTCATAGTTAATAGTTAGTTAATAGTGAGAATTGATCATTTTTAAAATATATGCATGTTTATAGTTCTTTAATAAATAAGTTGGGTACCATTGATTTTTGGGCATGTGCCATAGTAACACTATAGTATTCTTTGAAATACCTTGGAATACCATGTAAAAACCATGGTACAGGTTTACAGTATTCATTCTGTACAATGGTATTGCCATCTGAAACAGTTTCAGCACTTTATTGAAAGGATCCTGTATCTTTCCATTACTGATTTTATCTCCATCTCCTTCCCACTCCTCTAGCTGTGGCCTTTTATTTTCCTTTTCCCTTTCCTGTCACGCTGCTGTCTGCTGTTTTTTCTCTTCTCCTATTCAATCCTCCTCTAGAAAGGTAAACTTTACATAAAACATTCATATAAAATCCATTAACCTACTGTATGCAAATTTAATTGGGGTGGTGTAATTTTGTGTTTTGAAAGGAGCAAAAGCCAGCTGCGGTCACTAAACCACATGGCCCACGGGAAACAAAGGGCTCCACACCTGCCAAGGTAAGCTGAATGGGTGGAAACATCATATGATGTTTAACTCCATTAAAGTCAGTTATTTCATTGATTGTTTCCTTTGACCGACCCAGAAAAGACTGACAGATCTCGAGGTGTAACAGGAAAAACTTAAGTGGTGTTTGATACCTGTTGATTTTATGGTTTGTTACTCACTTTTCTCAAATTATTGGGTCATCTACCAACTTTACAAATAGCTAGCATGTCTTTAGACCTAAAACTGGTCACAGGACTCATGAATTCAAGCAATGGCCCTGTTTCCAAAAAGAGCTTTCATCTTGAAGGGTCTGTATCATCTCAGTGGTTAATTTTATACTGTATATGACTTGATGGCAAAGGGTTGATGTACAATGGTGCATCCCATCATCCCTTTCTCAGATATTGTCACCAGATTGTTTCTCATTATAATTTTCCCCCAATATTATTAACAGTTGTACCTTTAATAGTACCAAAATACCAACACAATCTCTTGGCACTATTTTACATTTTGACGAATTGGTAGCTAATTCATATGATCTCATTCATGCACTTTCATACGATCTGCTCACGCCCTAGTGATGGTTATGTTTAGGGGTGGACCTTCATGAATACTTTTTCAAAAAATCATACATTTTCATACAATTCACAATGTACACATTTATATAAAATCACCATTTCATAAAATAGTCACATTTTCCTGTGAGATTGGGTTGAAGGTGCAGGACTTTTTCAAATCACACACTTATTGGGTTGCTTTTTGTTTCAGGTGTTCGCAGCCAAGAGTAAATTCGTCACAAATGGTGAGTGACCTTTGTGGGTTTTTGCTTTTTTTCTGTGGAACACAAAAGATATTTTGCATAATGTTTCAACTGCTTTTGTCCATGCAATGAAAATCAAATGGGGTCCAAAAAATAACATTGACATTCATTGGTCAAAAAAAGCAATTTTTCAAAATATCTTCACACCAATGAATAGCTTTGCTCCCTAAAAAGGGTGGAGCAGTCAGTGGGAGGTGTTTAAACTGACGATGCGGCGACAGCAAATGTCTGAAGTCATGACTCTAACTGGCCAGCAAGACCGTAAATCTCTCGTTCGCATATCATGCCACACTATATTTAAAGCCCCGATCCTGTTCTCCTGCATTCTCCTGCATTGGACCGCCGGCGTGTCAGGCATAATTCCAACGTGTTTGTTTCACCCAGCGCCTCCCATGTAGCATTGTGTTGTGATGTGTCGCATTCCCTGCAGCAGCTGTTCTGTTGTGCCACTGCATGGGCATGAATCACTGGATTAGCATGATGTCACACAGCAAAGCTGTTTAATATTCAGAGTTACAGAAAGGATAAAAGTATCACGTTATGTCACATTACCTCCTTAACACCCAAATCTAGCACATGAGTCCTGCCAGGAATCTGTTTTTATGGTTTATTACTATTAATTCAAAGGTACTAGCAAAAAAGCTAGCAAAGAAGCTAGTGTCAGCTACCTCTCCTGGTCTTTCAGCTGAATTTGTCCTTGAGAGTGACATAGATGACAATGTACCAGGTATTTGTCGCACTTGTGGCACAACCTCTGACCATGTCGTGTGTATTCATCTGGGTCACGGCACCAACGTGTTAACTCTCTAACTGGGAACAGGTGCGGACGGCTGATGTATTTGCTTTCGTGTATTTGAGGAAGTGTTGAAAAAGCCTGCTGAGTTATACACATGACGTATGTAGAGCAAATGTAACTCGCTCGTACTGTCTCTTTTGATAACTCATTAGCACATTAACAACGTATTCCCTGATGTTTTACAGGAACAAGAAAATAAAGACATCCGACGGATCCCAGATCAGCCAAAGTGGAAGATGCATCCATTAAATGTGCATGATTTTGCAACTTCAGGACACAGATCTTACATTGGAAATCAAGCGACAACTTACAGAACAAAATAAACATTTTGTAAGTTTAAAAAGCCTTTAAAGTAAAACATTTAAACTGACTAAAATTACCATGAATGCACAAGACAAATAATACATATTAAAGTATTAAAGGGATAGTTCACCCAAAAATGAAAATTCTGTCATTGATTACTCACCGTCTTGTTGTTTCAAACCCGTAAAGACCTTTGTTCATCTTCGGAACACAAATTAAGATATTTTAGATGAAATCCGAGAGCTTTCTGACCCTGCATAGACAGCAAGGGAACTACCATGGTCAAGGCCCAGAAAGGTAGTAAGGACATCGTTAAAATAGTCCATGTGACATCTGTGGTTCAACTTAAGTAATGAAGTTATGAGAGTAATTTTTGTGTGCAATGAATACAAAAAGAACGACTTTATTCAACAATATCTTCTCTTCCGTGTCAGTCTTCGACGCGCGTTCACGGCAGTACCACAACGCATGCATGTGACACTACTGACGCAAGAGTAGAACCCGGAGAATCTGATGTAGAACCCGGATGCACTGCGGCATGTTTGCAAAGGGAGGAATGCACATGAATGCATTGTGGTATTGTCGACTGACACAGAAGGGAAGAAATTGTTGAATAAAGTCGTTATTTTTGTTTTCTTTGCGCACAAAAAGTATTATCGTAGCTTCATAAAATTACGGTTGAACCACTGATATCACATGGACTATTTTAACGATGTCCTTACTACCTTTCTGGGCCTTGAACGTGGTAGTTGCGTTGCTGTCTATGCAAGGTCAGAAAGTTCTCGGATTTCATCAAAAATATGTGTTCTGAAGATTCTGAAGGTCTTACGGGTTTGGAACGACATGAGGGTGAGTAATTCATTTTCATTTTTGGGTGAACTATCCCTTTAATATCAAACATTATTAAAAAGTGACAGGTGGATTTACACCAACACACTATAGAGTTTGATTGGACGCAAGTGTTTAAGTGGAAAGTGTTTTCACTTATCTTTTAAACATTGATACGCTTATTTATTTTGCTCTCATAACTATGCATGATTATATAGTTGAATTTTATTATTTGCATTTAGCATTATTTTGTCCCTACTGTCCGGAATCCCATAAGATGAAAACTTTTTTTTTTAAATCTCATTTTCTTACTGAATTATATAAACAATTTACTTTTTTATTACATCAGAAAATAAAATTATAATAAACAATTATAATACAATTACAGCTACCAGTAACCATTAAAACAGATGCAGTAGCATTAACAAAATTGTCTTTTGTCAATAGTGTAAACATGTATTAAGCACGGTTCATGCAGAAGTCACTTTCAAACCAAGTAAAATCTGTGTGGGTCAATCTTTCGCTCTTAAGCGAACTTCCAGATTGCATGGAATCCTAATGAAAAGGCAGGATTTTGTTCATGAATATTTGCCAAACAACGCTAAATTTGACTGCATCTTTCTTTAGACTGCATCTATAGCCTTGATTATGGCATTATTAAAAATTTACATTTTAAGAAAAAAAAGTCAAACTTCCTATTCTCCCTCTGAAGTTTCATGTGCATGGAGATTCAGATGTCCTGTTGATTTTGCACTCATGATGTAATGCTTTATAACATGTTGCTTTGCTAATACTGCTTTTGCCTTATGACTTTCAATCATATGCTTTGCACTTGGGAGTCTCAAAGTCATGCTACAAACACTACATCTTAACAATCTTACTGGTATAGCATTATAAATAATTTTGGTAGTAATATAGTTCAACTCTTTCAAAATATCAATCAAGTATTTCCTACTATAACAGTTCAGACTATCAGTGATGATCTCAGCAACTGTACAATTGTTGTATTGTCAAACAAGCTTTCACAGTAAAGTAGTGATACATGCACAGATTGCCTCTGTGTGTTTCCTGTACTGCACTCATTGTTATTTGAGACAAGCTGTCTGCTTCTTTCTTTGAATGGATTGGGTTTCAAGGGGTGGTAAAACAAGGCAGGTCATAGAGAATGTTTGGTTTTAGAACTTTACTGAAATGCATCTGACAGTCTAACAATAGACAAAGGCTTTCAGTGCACGCCAATGAGAGGCCATTATGATCACGTGGTGTGTTAGTATGTTAGCCTTGAGACTGAGGCCCGCTGCTCTAACACTGCGCTCTAAAAGAGAGTGGCTCCTGAGATCTCTGAGATCCACACACAACCCAGGTAAGAGTTATCTATTCCTACCAAATCCCTGCCTTGTAGGAATAATGAACAGGATGTATTTTGGTATTGGTGTTGCATTTAACAATGTTTGTAATGAATCCTGCATTTAATCTTTGACGTAGTTTATAGTCATGTCTGACACAGAAGATGTGATGGATGAGGGAGTTCAGTGAGTAACAGTCTTTTACTCCAAAGTTTGCAATACTTTATATTTTATTTGCATGATTTATGCATGATTTATTATGATAAAAATGCATCATATTTTCACTTACAAATCTTTTGTCTCTTTGTTTGTGTTTGATCTCATTTTATAAAAGGGAGGAAGGTATTGTATATTTTAATATTTTAAATTTAACATTAATTTATTTAGTTATTTATTATAATGCCAGTGGCTATTTACATACATTTACATTGGCATATATTGTTTGCACCAAGTATAATTACCAACAAACAGAACACACCTTATTTGAGCAAAATTAGTGAAAAATGCATTTGGCAATTTGATACTGCCTATACTAATTCTTATTATTTTAATAACATTAAAAAATATATTTATTGTTAGTATTCTATTCACTTGCGGTTAAAAACACCTCTTTCTCCAATTACAGTAGATGACTCAAAGTCCAAACCAAAGTAAGTCCCATTGTTCTCTTGTACAGAGCCTATAATTATATAGCCAGAATAAAACTTTTTTTAAAGGCTCAATCTTTTATCTTCAGATATCTATCAAATATCCAAGCACCAAAAATTCCAGAGGGAGACAAAGTAGATTTTGATGTAAGTAGGAGATTTTTCTCTTTAAACACACACCTCTCGTTTTTAGACCACCTGTAACCTGTATCAATTGTGTGTGTGTGGCAGGACATCCAAAAAAAGCGTCAGGAGAAGGATTTAGCAGAACTACAGTCTCTTATAGAGGCTCATTTCCTCCAGAGACAGAAAGATGAAGAGGAACTCATTGCTCTGGTCAACAGAATTGTGAGTGCTTCCTCATAAATGTTGTTTATTGCTGATGTAAATGTCTTGCGTAGACAGTAATTCTTATAGGTTTGCATCCTTTTTTAAACATTTTGTTAAATATGAAAGTCGAAAAGAGGTATTCTAATTTTTGTTTTAAACAAGATCGACATCTTCAAGAGGTACATAAACTTACGAGCAGGAGTATGTAAATATGTGTTTGAACAGGAGAAGAGGCGAGCGGAGAGAGCCGAGCAGCAGCAAAAAAGAGCAGAGAGAGAGAAAGAGCGTCAGGCCAGACTCACCGTGAGTTCCTGTCACATTCTGACTGTCAACGCCTGCCATCTTCTGCTCAGACACCTGCTAAACTACACCAGCTGCCTACTGGAACACCTTCCACCAACGACACCAAACTAGTCCTGAATTTACACCTTTAAATCACATTTGTTGAGGATGTTAACAAAATTCTCCTTGTATAGTCAAACAAATGCATTTTACATGCTACTGGATCATTTCTACAAAACTTTCAATTTAGATTTAACTGATTTTTTGCTCAGCCATTGAAGTGAAACGATGAACTACAGGCTTATAACAGAGATGAAACCTATGATCTGAATTGTTGACAGGAAGAGAGAGAGAGGAAGGAGCTGGAAGAGCAGAGAAAGAAGCAGGATGAAGATGCCAAGAAGAAGAAAGCTCTTACTAATATGACCCATCAGTATGGTGGCACACAGCAAAGGGTCAGTGTTTACCAACATATAAACACTGTAAACGTCGAAATATTTGAAGTTACATGATAATGTTACGCAGTCTTTCATTAATATTATAATTATTATTGAACTAAAGGGTGAAGGACGCAAAGGTGCAAAGAAACAGACCGAAAGAGAGAAAAAGAAGAAGATCCTGGCTGATCGCCGAAAACCACTGAGCATTGATCATCTGAGTGACGACAAACTCAAGTACAAAAGCTTTTATATATTGGCACATATTATTTATACTTATTATTTATATGCATATTATTGGCGCTGGTTAATAGTTGACCTTTACCACCAATCAGTGGCCTAGTGACTATTACAGTAAAAACTACAAGTCAAACATTTAAGATAATTTCTAATAATTTGGGCCATTCACACTTGTTCTTGCGTTTAAAAATGCTAATAGAAAAGAACATCGTCTTGAAACGCGTTTTACGAAATGGTTACTATTACAGTAGAACCTACACAACTAGTAGGCCATCAAATTAAAAAAACAATACACACCAAAAAAAAAACTTGTAGTAATAGTGGCCATTCGCACTGAACGCTTCCTTGCATTCAAAAACGAGATGAATGGGAAAAGAACGTCTCGAAACGCGTTTTTCGAACTTTAACTGCAACTAGGCGATGAAAAATAATTGAAAAACAACCCAGTGGAACGCCAGAACGCGTTCTGTGTCAATCTTACCATTTGTGTCTCTGGTTGCAGTGATAAAGCCAATGAATTGTGGCAGTGGTTGATGCAGCTGGAAGCAGAAAAGTACGATCTAAACGAGAAACTGAAACACCAGAAATACGATGTAAGTGATAACTTCCTTTGCTTACTTTCAAGTTGCTTTTGAGACGTTACGGAGCTTCTGCCAGACCCAATGAGTCATTGACAGTTTAACAAAATCCAGTTCACGTTGAACAGCTGGAGTGTGGTCTGAGGTAATTAGGTTGTGTTCATTATCACTGCATCCTGTTAGCACTTAGCTGTCACGTTTCCGTCTCTCACAGATAAATCAACTCCTTGCCCGCGTCCAGGATCACCAGAGGTATAAATCACAAGCTTGAAATCTCACTAACCACTTAGAGTGTTGAACCATGTTCAGATGTAAGGCCAAAAACTAATTTTAACCTCTTGCTTTTCTCTCTTAGTGCTAAGGGACGCGGCAAAGGCAAGATGGGAGGAAGGCTGAGATAGATGTCGACAGCACATATGAGAGGAATTTCTGTCCTCCTTCATTAGTTTTGTTTGAAGTTATTTAAAAGTCATTATTCAGTACATATAAAAATGCTCTGGCTGTACATTTTTGGTTTGCAGTCTCTTGCTTATTTTTTGCCATGAATAAATATTAGCACTTACTGTTAGTTTCAGTGTACTCCATTTATGTTTATATTATTTAATCAAATAAAAATATGTAGTCTGTGATTATGAAATTATATCAGCAACATATTGTATTATTATTAATATGTAACAGTAAATATAATATAGTTGCAGTACACCATAAAATGAAGTTATGTGTGAAAATTATAGGTGCAGATAAAAACACTAACATTGAATTAAACTACATTAATCAAGTTTCCCTCACCATTCATTTTATATGACCAAAAATGGAAAAATGAACAAATGACACTATGAAATTAAAGGTGCATCTAGTAATTTTGGTTTTATTCAAAAAGTTTTATACATTCACACAAAAGAGATGAGTGCTGCTTATGTTTCGAATCATGTAGACTCACTATCAACAGTCTAATAAAAGGGGATTTATTTACATTGAGCATGTCACCCTTATATAGGGGCCACCAAGTTAAGATCACATGACCAGTCAAATGCTTCTCACTTTATCTTGGTAGCCCCTGTAATTATTTTCACAATACATTTTTGTGTGATCCTGCAACATTGTCAATATAATCCGAAGTCGATGGCTATATCGAACAGAAATACATGAAAATATTACTGAGTGCACTTTCGCAAATGTCCAATCATACCAAAAGTTGCAAATGAAGCCACAACATCATGACAAACCCTTTAATTTGTTTGTATCACTACCTTTAATTTAGGCTAGATCAGGGACACACAGTCCTTTAACAGGCCACACATTATCTGCAGCGTACATTATGTATCTGCTTACATACATGAGAGAGATCACAGAATGGGACGTGTGCAGGTGTGAAGTGATATGTGCTGCCCTCAGTGTATTTAAAGAAGAGTCCGTTGAGTACATAAGATTATATTCAATACACACTAACTGACACCAGTGCATTTTTCAAGTTGGCTGTCTGTGAAATCCAGACAGAAGAGAGACGAGGCTGACGCAGACCGCAGGGTTCGAGTGAAAGGGAGAGGGGCTGTACATCAGCTGGACTTCACCACAGGTGTGTTTCTCGGATCTCAGCGATCACATGACTGGCTTTCTGCAAGGCCTAGGGGTAGAGGAGAGGATATAAGTTTTAAAAGAGTTGAAAATTTCTCATCATATAATATGATAAAACATAATTCAAATAATTTAAAATTATAAAAAAAAGTTTAAATTAGCCTCTACATTAATATTAATTGTTTTAATTAATTAAAAATAAGAAGTAATGATAGCAATAATGAAAAAATATAATGCTATTATTTAATATTATATAATTAATAATAATAATAATAATAATAATAATAAAGTAATATTCATGATTAACAAATAATATTGATGAAAAGGATACTCTGCATTACTAACCATTTTTTCATGAATATACATTATCACTATGCATAATTATTGCAAATTATATATATTATAATTATTAAATAATTTATAATCATTATTACAATTAATTACTATTAATGTAAAGGCAACTCTGCATTACTTTACATTTTACATTAATATACATATTATTATTAATATACATCATATAGTAATAATTCGTAGTAGTAGTATTATAAAATACAATTCATATTAAAGGCTACTCTGCATTACTACACATTTTATATGAACATAAATTACTTATTATATATCACTAAATGTTTAATACTAAGGT